TCTGAAGCTCTGAGATTTGCATGTAGAAGAATTTGGGGGACGTGCATGCTGGAAAGCCTCCTGTGAGGGGTAAGAAAAGGGAGAACTGGGCAGATGGAGAAGTTAATCCTACAGGGAGCTCTAGAGCTGGAATGGCCCTTTGGCGTTGTCTCAACTGAGTCAAGGAGGCCAGCTCTTTCTACCTCCTCACACACATGCACACACATATCAGTCCCTGGATGCAGGCAGTCCTCAGGGAGCAGTCATACCTCTGGCAAGGAAGCTTCCTTCAGCAATTTCTGGTGATGGACATGGCTGTGAACAGCCAGAGTTAATGAGTGCTTAGGTTCTAAGGAGGGACCTAAAGGGTGGACCACGCCATCCACCATGTGTTTGGATGGAAGTTCTTCTGCCTAATCATCATCCGTTATGAGAATGTGGCCATCAGAGATTTCACACCTGGACAAGAATCATATTCTGGGAACGAATCCCATTTGGTGCTCTCAAATCACGTACGTAATGACAGGTCTGAGAAGTCTCAACCCCGCATTCTCATATCTCTTCGTCTCCCACCCACATATTTGCCAGTCCCACCTACAGCAACAGCTCGGAAGACCTCCATTTCTGAATGGCTTCCGGTCACAGGAGGGCCAGTGTGACTTCTTCTCTAGTTACAGATGGAGAGTGGATAAGCCTCTGCCTATCTGGTAATCTCCATTCGCTCCTTTGTCAGTCATCACACATTTTTAACAGACATTCTGTTGTAAACATTGAGCATAAAAAAAAAAACAAATAAATAAATGAAGAGACAGTGAAAGGCCTTATACATCATGAGAGGGAATTCGGTTTGGTCTGGACATAATGAAGATAGTTGAAAGGATGACAGGCAGTAGCGTGACTTGAAAAGATCTGGGTGATTACAGGGCCTCTGAGAGCTTGGAGAGGTTGGATTCCCCAGTATAAGCACAGCAACTTTCAATGGACTTAAACACCAGTTCGGTTGGGGTCACTAGCTGGTGGTATAGTATCAGGTTAAGGTACTTGATTCTCACAGGGTTGACCGTGGTTGGAATGCCAGACTTGGCAGCTTGAAACTCACTCCAGGCATGTGCACATGTCTGCCCAAATTCCTGAGAGGAGAATGGAAGAGAAGGGACTTCAAGGTGGCCATCCCCTCGCCTCCCCAGGAGGTGATTTCTCATTTTGTCTCTGGTAAGCACACACACACTATAGCAAAAATCTCTCTCTCTCTCTCTTAAAAAAAAAAAAAAAGGCAGTTCTGTCTAAGCTCAGTGAGCCACTTACCTTCTGTTCTTCTTCTGACCAAGACCATTTTTCCATCCCATAAGTTTGCAGCAACATCAAGACACAAGTTGACAGCCTGCTTGTGTGGGAGTATGAGAGTACTTACGTCATTCTCCTAAGCCACCCACAGCCCACAGGGCCTGTTCATATGCCTTTGTATGTGCAAACATCCCTGGCTGTGACCGCAGGTCACAAACACTCCATGAGAAGTGCACAGCTGTCCACACAGACTGGACACCTCTACAGAATGAGCCACCCAAGGACACATCATTCCATTCTGATGTTTCCCTCTCAACATCCTCAATAGCTTTAGGCCAGTCCTTAACAGCTAAAGCACATGTCTCAGTGGGTGGGACTTCCACATGAAATATAAATTATAGACCTCAGGGTATGACCTAGCAGCAGAGACGGTATCTAAAGAAACAAAAGCAAGATATTTTTTTTTTAAATTATCCAACTATAGACTGGAAAACAGAAGAGAGACTATCATATTCATAATAATTATTTGAAGGTAATAGCTTATATTCTTTAATGTAGTTCCAACATAAATGTCACTATAAGAAATGATATTTCATTTCAATACTAACAAATCAGGTACTTATTGTGCTGGGGGAGAAATGATTGGAACTACTTTAAAGCCACGTTAACCAGAGAAACTGCAAAAATATTTATACTCTTATGAAGGAAGGAAGGAATGCCCCTCACGGGTGTATTTAAGTATCCTCCATCTTTTGGATAAATGGTAATGCTAAACAAAAAATGGAAAGATGACCTTAGAATAATAACCTCAAGACACAACTGGGATTCGGCTTCCCAACGTACAAAAATCATTTGCAATATGTTCAGCATGGAAATTTTTATACTGCTTTATAGCTCATAGAGTTCATTATATGCCTCAAACAAAAATCACCCAACACCCAGCTCTGAGCTGGCTCCTTCTCCATAGGGTAAGGCCTCTCTCATATGTGAAATTATTCACCATCCCTTTGCTCACTATCTGCAATTCTGCTCAGTTACTCAACAATGTTTATAAGGACAGGAAAACAAAGGGAAGGAGAAAACCAATCCATTCAGAGAGAGGTGTTTCATATAGAGAATAGGGTTGTTAAACCCAAAGCAGGGCTGGCACTGTGAGGGCTTTCTCTAGCCAGTTCTCTCTCTGTTCTTCCTTCTATAGACCCCATGCAAAGGCCATGTGGAAAATTACACAGCCTAAATGCTGTGTGGATACCTCAAAGCTATCCCATTGGGTGAGCCTCTTTCATTTTTTTTTTTCATTTTTCCAGCAGCCACTATGTATGTGGCATGGAAGATGGAGAGTGGTTGAGGGCCTGAACCTCTGAGTGATTTCATTTTCAAATAGCTTCAAAGGACTTTGAAGAAAGGTCCAGTTGATTTACTGTGAATAGCATTGGAGCTGTAGGACCAGAAGCTGATAGTATGAATTGGTGCTTAGAGAAACAAAGCCAATGAAAGTCAGCAATCCAATAAATCTATGAATGGCTGCATGGAATTGTCTTTTAAACAAATGAGTGATTTCTTTCTGGGGCCAGCAGATGGTGTGGACGTTAAGGCATTGGATCCCACATGACCAGCTGCACAGTTTGAGTCCCAAACCTGGAAGTTTGAAAAGCACACCAGCCACATGTGCACATGGGCCCAAAATCCCGACAGGAGACTGGAGGAGAAGAAACTGTGGTAAGGCCATCTCCCCTAGGGGGTGATTTCTCATTTTCCTTCTCTCTGGTGAGTGCATATGCTCTCTAGCAAAACCCCCCGAAAAAAAACCACAAACAAACCACAGAAAAACGAATGGCTGGCCCCTTTCTATCAAGAGGCATACAACTAGAAATGCCCAAACTTGTATCCCTAGAGACTTAGAGTCACAGTATTCCAAGTTTGTTTTCTCCAATTTTATAGGTTTTCCCTGCTGAGAGAGTCAACAGATTCCTGATGATATAACCTCCAAGTATATCCATATACATGTTCTCTTTCAGCTTTTAAAAAAATATCCCATGTTAGGGAGAAAAGGAACCCTCACTAACATCTGCAGTTGGTGTATGAAACACACAGTTTCATAGTGAGTAACTTTCAGCCCTGAGGGTGAGTGGGAGAGTGGGATCTCTCTCTCTCTTTTTTTTTTTTCTTTGAAGTTTTTGCCATAAGTTGTGTGCATGCACCAGAGACAGAGAGAGAGAGAGAAAGACAGGGAGACGGAAAGTGAGAAATCACTCTCCCTCTGGGGAGAATGGTCATACCATAATTCCTTTCTTCTCCATTCTCCTACTGGGATTTTGGGTACACATACACATACGCATGGTGTGAGTTTCAAGTCACTGGGACTGGTACTCGAACCACGGTCAGCCATGAGGGAGTCCAGACCCTTAACCACCATACTGCCCCCAAGATTGGGATCTCTTGATACTTTATCCCATGTCCATTCAAGGGTCTCTGCTGTTCTTATTCTACATGTATATGGGCAAATAGCATTAATTCACATTGATAATACATCAATTCAGTAATAAATTAATTCTTTGAAGCAAACTGACTATACGTTAGAAAGAATGGGTCAAGATCCATGGTTCAGTAGCCTCATGTCGACCAGGTGGGATGTTAGAGAATGTTCCTCACTTGTCACTCCCTGAGCTCCCCTTGATAACCAACAGATTTCTTCAAGCTCAGAACTGCGTAGATGCCAAATGCTTCCTGGCTGTTCCGGGAGAGAGTCAACGCCAACACAATGAGCTCTAATGCTGCTAAGGTCCAGGTACTCCTGGGGTTCAGTGGAACTCACCAAGGCCTAGTCTGTCAGCTTGCCTCAGAAACTGCAATGAGTCTATTACCCTGGCACTGTCATAAGGGCCCTTATTTATGCTCCTCTATGGAGGAATGTGAAGAACAGCCAGGACAGAGCATGATAGCAGCCATCCAGCTGCTTGTGCAGCTGATACAGCTGAATGGAGGAATGTGAAGAACAGCCAGGACAGAGCGTGACAGCAGCCATCCAGCTGTTTGTGCAGCTGATACAGCTGATGAAAGGATGCGATTTACAAGAGCACTTTCCCTCAACACAAGTGCACAAATCCCAGACCCACTCCTTCTGGGAGACCAGTGGCATGCACACACTTTGGTGCACTCTGGTGAGAACAAGTCAACACAGAGAGCTGCTCATTTATTGAGTTGTCAGGAAAGTCACAACATATTTGTCTACGTTGTTCTATGCAAAAATGCATCATGACTTTTCTGATGACCCAACAGATAGGCAAAGGAGACAGAGAAACACAACATATTCATGTACTGACAATGTCTGCATGCAGACTAACCTATACCCTTCATCATACATATGGAACTAGATCCCTTATTCCAAAGGCTAAAACAAATGTCATGCATATAACTAAGGAGGATGTGTGGAAGTTGTCTAAGACCTAAGGGTAAATATCAGACGGAGGTTTCCTGCTGCCTGCTGGAATGGGCAGCTGACTGAGGAACCCAATTGGAAGGCATGCACGTAATGTTTCCAGGATCAACACAGATGCTGCTGCTGGTGAAGACAATGATTGAACCAGTTCTTCAAGCCAAGGGAGTAGGAGCACCCTTGACCTGTAGCTCTCTTCCACTTTCAGGTGAGAAAGCAGGAAGGAGAGGCCTGTTATCGCTCCCCGTTTCTGTGTATTGCTGCTGCACAGAAAGCATGAGTGTCCTGCAGCCTCTCCTACCTTGTATGGGCCCTGGTTGCAGCCACAGTAGCTGCTTTCCATGGTGTAGCTTCTGGACACGCCCATCTCTCTCCACACCACCACCCGGGCTGTGGAGGCTCGAGACTTCTCCACCAGGAAGCTGCAGCTGCTCATTGTGAATGCTGGTGCCAGCTTATCAAGGATTTTGGGAAGAGTCTACAATTTAAAAAAAAATTAAACTATGATGAGTTGTAGGTGAGAATATTCATAAAAAGTAGCTTCTCAGGATCAGATGGCATAATGATTACATCACTAGATTCCCACATAGTTGACTGCCGTTCGAGTCCTGGATCTGGAAGCTTAAAACTCACAATGAGTGTGTGCACATGTCCAAAATCCCAAGAGTAGGATAGAGGAGAAAGAACTGTGGTATGGCCACCCCTCCTAGGGGGTTATTTCGCACTTTCTGCCTCTCTGTCTCTCTGGCAAGCACACGCGCACTATAGCAAAATTCTCTCTCTCAAGAAAAAAAAGCTTCTCAACATTTATTAAGCAGCACTGTAGTGCAAATGCTTAATATATGCTATTTCAATCTTTTTAATACTTGGGCTAGTTGGTGGCATGGTTGTTAAGATGGTTGAAACCCAAATGGCCAACTATGTGTTTCTAGGCCCTGACCCAGCAGTTTGAAAAACACACCAGCACATGTGCATACATGTTCAAACTCCCAAAAGCAGAAATATGGAAGGGGTTATAGTAGGACCATCCTCCATTGGGAGGGGGGATTTATCATTTTCTCTTTCTCTTGGTCTCTCTTTGGTGTCCTCTAAATAAAATATAATTTAATTAAAATTTTTCAAATCATTTTACAGATAAGAAAACTGAAGCTTAGAAATGTTAGAAATAAAAGTTTAATTTCTATGCTTACAGAGTGGCTAAAATGGGATCCAAATGCTAAGTTGGCCAACTCTAAAGATTATAGTCTTTTTTTTCTTTCCTTCCACCCCCCCCACAGTTAGTGCCACAGGGAACATGGGTTCTGTGGAGAGAAACAGAGAGACAGTAAGAGGGGAAGTAAGAAATCTTCCTCCCGCCCCCGCATCTCCATGGAGGATAGCCACACTGCAATCCTTTCTCCTCCATTCTCCTGCGATTTTGGGCATGCAAACACATGTGCTCAGTGTCATTGTTCAAGCTGCAGGGCCCAGCACTTAAACTATAATCGGCCATGTGGGAGTCCGGTGCCATAAGCACTATGCCACCTGCTAGTCCCAAGACTATAGCCTTTTAGCTCCATTTTTCATTATTACTTTTTCTTTTTTTGTAGAGGTTTTTGCTATAGGGCATGTGCGCTCGCCAGACAGACAGAGAGAGACAGAGAGACAGCGAGAAATCACCCCCCAGGGGGGATGGCCACACCGCAATCCCTTCTCCTCCATTCTCCTCTAGGGATCTTGGGCACGTACGCACACGCGCCCGGCGTGAGTTTAAGCCACCGGGTCCGGGACTCGAACCGTGGTCGACTATGTGGGAGTCCAGCGACATAGCCATTACGCTAACTGCTGGTCCCTAGCTCCATTTTTCTATATTGCTGTGGATCTGTGCTGTCCCCAAACATCTGATCTCATGCGATAATGAACTGAGCCTATGCAAAGCCACAGATTTCACAGAACCTGAAATTTACAGTGACTCCATCCACTTCTACGGTTTTCTTAGCAGTCAGGCTGGGAACTGTTCAGTCATCATTGAAGGCCAAGGAAGCCATGATGATTCTTGAGTAGGAGCACATATAAAGTACTTGCTTCCAAAGACTAAGCAATTGCTAAAACTAACTTTTCAGAATCCTTCCCTAAGCCATAACTGTGAGGCTGGATTACAAACTCCTAAAAAAACAAACAAACAAAAACTATCCTCTCCTAAGGGACCGGCAGGTGGCACAGTAGTCAAGGCGCTGGACCCCAACATTGTCAACAACAGTTTGAGTCCTCAACCTGGCAGCTTGCTTTCTCACTTTCCTTCTCTCTCTCTGTCTCTCTCTGGTGAGTGCATAGGTCCTGCAGCAAATTTTAAAATAATACTTGTAATAATAAAAAAAGTTAAATAAGTAATTCTTTAAAAAATAAATCTATTCTCTCCGTTAAGATATTTCCTTAGGTAAAAATGCTTTACTTATGACCATTTAATCATTTAGAAGGGCATCTGTAAACCCTAGCCACTGTCTGATTGACAGAGAGAACACTTCCAGCCACTGGATCTCTCCTATAATACAATAATGACTCAAATTTGACATTCCATGCCATCCTTGGGTCAGCAGAAATACTGCAATTAATGTCAGAACTTTGGTGACATTTTAACAAAAGTTCTCTCACTTCGGCATTGATAGAATATGCACAAACTAGCATACAATATAAAGTGTGTACATTAGATAATAGACACTGTAGCTTTAAGCTTTTAGAAAAAATGTGAGCCCTGGTAGAGAAGCATAACAAAAATTGTTGAGACTGATGAAAGAATTAATTTTAAAGTAATTCAGTTTTGTTCATTTTTCAAACATTAAGCGCATCTCTTAATCACTCTTTTTACTGTCCTCACATTTAATATAACCACTGATTATACAATTACAAATTATAGTATAAATAAAATTACATATAATTATATACTAATATAATTATTAGTATAATTTACTATGGTCTCTTAAGTTCCTGCATAGCCTCCAAATCTACAGATCACTTGACAAAAGGAAGTGAAATGCTCATATTCCTCATGTGAGTTTTTATAATTACGTAATCAATACTATTGCATTCACTCTTTTCTTTTTTTCCAGGTTTTTGGCATTGGACACGGGCACTTGCAGGAGAGAGACAGTGAGAGGGAAAGTAAAAAATTATCCCCCTCCAGGGGGATAACCTCGTCCCAATCCCGAATCCTACTTCTTCTCCTGGTATTTTGGCCAAGTACCCTCATGCACCCAGTATGATTTTCAAGTCACCAAGTCTGGGACTGTGGTAGTCCAGCACCTTAAGACCATGCCATTAACTCTTGTTCTTCCATCTGTGTAACTTCTCGCTTTATTTCTTTTTTTCCTTTAAAATGTTTATCACAATTACAGTTAAATTATTGTATATGTATTAGTTGGTTCTTTTATTCATTATTTGTGTTTAGAGAGATTTTTGTTAGAGGGCATGTGAGCTTGCTGGAGAGAGAAAAACAGAGAGAGAGAAAAAATGAGAAATCACTTCTCAGGGGGAATGGCCATGCCACAATCTCTTCTCCTCCATTCTCCTCATGGGATTTTAGGAAGGCATGAACATATACCTGGAATGAGTTTGAAGCCTCCGGGTCCAGGACTTAAATCATGGTCAGTCATGTAGGAGTCCAGCACCTTAACCATACACCACCTGCTGACTCCACTGCTTTATTTCTTTTTTTAAGATGTCAACCATGAAAGAAAACAACAGGCTCACTTAAGTGAAAAAGTATAGAGAGTGTATAAATGAAAGAATAGTCAATTTGCATTGATAATTTAAAACTTTTCAAGTATTACCAAATCATTTTAGTTGCAGTATATGTAAGTAGTGTGTGTATGTGTGTGTGTGTACGCACATGCTATGTAAACAGTCTTGTCAGGGTCTAGACTAGCAAATTCTATCTATCTACTTACCCTGTAGCTGACATCCTCCAAGAGAGCAGATGTGCCCACCTTGCAGTCTGCTTGCCATAAGGTCTCCTTGATGCTGCAGCCATAAAGGAACACATTCTTCTTTTGGGAGTGGCCATGGAAATCACAGAAGACCTACAACAGCCAATCAAAAGAAAAAAGAAACTCAGGTCAGGCCCAGTGGTTTCTCAAATGTTTAAAATGTCAGTTTTCTTGGATATATACTATTTCCGTAGCAGAACCAGCCACATCTGGATCATCTGTGACTTTGGTAAGAGTTGTATTGATGGAGTTATTGGGAAAGTATGGGGAGAATGGGAGAGAGGGGATTGAGGCATGGCCATCTTCCCTGGGGGAGTGAGTTCTCACTTTCTTTCTCACTTTCTCTTGTCTTTGCCTCTGGTGAGTGCATACATCTGACAGCAAAAATTAAAAAAAAAAAAGTGTAGTGAAAAAAACAGAGAATCTAAAGGACATCATTAACTAATCAAATATTTGCATAATGGGAGTTCCAGAAGGAGAAGAGTTGGAAAAAGACATAGAAAACTTGCTTCATAAGATAATAATGAAAAATGCCCAAATCTAGGGAGAGAAACAGACATCCAGATTCCACAAATACAAAGGACACCAAATTGATTGAACATAAAAACATTCCAGGCACCATTACAGTCCAGCTGTCAAAAGCCAAAGATGAAGAAAGAATCCTAAAAACTATCAAGAGAAAAATGTCAAGTCACATACAAAGGAAAACCCATTAGACTAATAACTGTCCTCTCAGCAGAACCCTTACAGGCTAGAAGAGAATGCAATAATATATTCAGACTTTTGAAAGATATAAAACCAAAAAATACAACAAAAACTTCCAGCCAAGAATGCTATACCTGGCAAAGCTATCTTTCAGAAATGAAAAAGAAATACAATCTCTCCCCCCACAAAAAAGTGAGAGAATTTACCAATAGCAGATTGACTATTCAAGAAATATTTAAAAGAATCCTATATGTGGAAGCAAAAGGAAAACAAGGCCACCATGGAAACATGCATAGGTATAAAATTTACTAGTAGAGCAATCAGACAAATGAAGAGAAAGAAAAAAATCCTATCACTGTAGAAAACTACCAACCACCAAAGGAAGATAGCAACAAGGGTAACACAAAACAACCAAGAAATACAGGCCCAAGTGCATACTTATCAATAGTAACCTAAAATAAAGCAGATAATAATAAATAATTTTAAAAAAATGTTGGAGCCAGCAGATGCATAGCAGGTACATTGCTGGACTCCCTCATGGCTGACTGCAGTTCAAGTCCCACACCCAGTGGCTTGAAAATCATGCCATGTGCATATGTGTATCTGCCTAAAATCCTGGGAGGAGAATAAAAGAGAGGGGATTGTGGCATATCCATTCCTTGGGAAGGTGATTTCTCACTTTCCCTCTCTCTTTCTTTCTCTCTTTGTGTTTCCAGTGAATGCATGTGCCCTATAGCCAAAAAATGCTCTCCAAAAAATGTATATATGTACACACACACACACATATACGTATATATACATATGTATATGTGTATATACATATGTATATATGTATACATGTATGTATATGTGTATATGTGCATTCATATATATTTATATATACACACTGGTATACACATATACACATATGTATATGTGTATGCAGTATATATGTATGTGTGTGTGTGTGTGTGTGTGTGTATATATATGTAGATATCTACAGTAGACTGGCTAAATGGATTTAAAAAAATAAAGTAAAATAAAATAAGACCCCACTACATACTATCTTCAAAAGTTCACCTCACCTGTAAAAATATATAGATTTGAAAGTCAAGGGAAGGAAAAAGACATTTCATGAGACTAGAAACCAAAAACAAGGGAGAATAGCTGTGCTGTTATCAGATAAAATAGACTTCAAGAGAAAACTGGAAAAAAGAAACAAAGAGCATCATTATATGTAACAAGACAAAAGGATCAATTCAGCAAGAGGATAAGCACCCAATAACAGAGCACTCAAATATATAAAACGAATACTGTGAGACTACAGAGAGAGGGTTACTCTAACACAGGAACAGTTGGAAATCTCCACACCTAACTTTCAGCATAGGACAGGTCATCTGGCCAGGAAATCTTCAAAAAGATATTAGATTCAAATTTCACCATAAACCCAATGGTCCTGCAGACATTTACTGCACATTTTACCCAATAATCACCGAATACACATTCTTCTTGGTAGCACATGGAACATTTTCCAAGATAAATCACATATTAGGCCATAAAGCAACCTCGGGAAAATTTTAAAAATAGAAATCCTATCAAGTATAGGAGGTCAGATACCACACTGGCTAACTGAAATTTGAATCCTGGCCCCCGTGGCTTGAAAAACATGCCAGGCATGTGTGCCTATGTTCCTCAAATCCTCATGGGATGGAGAGATGGAGGAAAGGGATTGCTACATGGTATGATTATTAAAGACAAGTCATCTCATCACAATGGAAAAAAACAGGAAATCAACAGCCAGAAAAAGTGTTGTTCTGCTTCCTGTCAGTAGGTCACTAGTATTTCTTTTTTTTCTCTATAGACCTTTACCCTTGGGAGGTATGTATTTCTTTCCATTGCTCTCTCAGCCATATTTGAAAATGGCACTGGAGAATATGACCCCCCTCCTTTTAGATTAAGCATTTATTTTTTTCTGATTCCTGATATTGAAGTTTAGAGCCCAAAAATCATTTGGGTCTCAACAGTCAATCTCTTTGAATCATGAAAAAGCACTGGCAGTAAAATACATGAAAGAAAAAGGAAAATATTTTTTCTGATTTTAATTTCTCTAAAACATAACTGACAGTGTAAATAAAAATATTGATAGTCGCAATGTAGTACATGTTTACAGCATTTGTAAAAGTAAATGTATCACAATAATAGCACAAAATATGGGAGAGATAAATGGGCAATACACTGTTGTATAAAGATGGATATCGTAAACAATCAGGCAAACACTAAAAAAAGTTCAGGGGCATAAATAATAATTCAACTGTGGAGATATATTGGAATCATAAAAATGTTCAGTTAATACAAGGGAAATCAGAAAAGACAGAAAACACCAAGAACAGAGGAAACAAAAAACAGCAAGATGGTAGATTCTGATCAAAACCTATAAATAGTTTCATTAAATGTTAATGGTCAAAACATACTAATTGAAAGATAAAGATTGTCAAATCGGATAAATGAGAGCAAATCTCTGTAAGAAATTCACTTTCATTGTGAAAACATAAGTTAAAAGTAAAAATATATAAAAAGACATAGTATACAAATGCTAAACACATGAAAGCTGAGGTTGTTATATTAACTATCAGATAAAGTAAACATCAGAATTATAAATATTATCTGAGATCAAAAGAGATGTGCTAGCTGAAGTGCCATTTCCATTTTGGTTATCAAGTGATTCCACTTTGTCTCTCCTACTCTGGGATTCCATAATCTTCACAGAAATCAAAGACTGCCTCACTGGTAGCATTCCTTACAAACCTGGTTTTCTTTTTTATTTGTTTTTGTTTCTATCATAGGGCACATACACTCATTGGAGAGAGAGACAGAGACAGAGAGAACAAAAATGAGAAATCACCTCCCATGGGGGATGGCCACACCACAATCCCTTCTCCTCCATTCTCCTGTGATGTGAGGCACGCACGCAAGCACCTCCAGCATAATTTTTAAGCCTCCTGGTTCAGGACTTGAACCATAGGCAACCATGTGTTAGTCTAGCACTTTAACCCCTATGCAATCTGCTGGCCCCACATACCTGGTTTTCAAAGAAGAGCAACTATAGAGCTTTTAGGCTCCCCTCACAAATGTATATCCCAGCGCCTTAGTGGAAAGAATGTCTTCTGGTCCTTTCACAGGTGGACTTGTGCACATCTCACAAGATAAATCTGGTATACATTTCTCTTTCCCAAAGACTTCATATAGTCTCTTCTATATTATTTCAGGGAGCTCAGCCTCTCAACCTGTGCACATCTCACAAGATAAATCTGGTATACGTTTCTCTTTCCCAAAGACTTAATATAGTCTTCTACATTATTTCAGGGAGCTCTGCCTCTCAACTTCACTAAATGCACACCATTGCTAAGCATTGGGCTCAATGAAGCAACCAATTACTGGGAGATCTACCTCCAGCTGCTGGAACTCACAAGCCTAAATTTTATACTCCTATCAATCAAGTCAGCCAAAGCTAGCAATATATTCTGACCTTGGTAGTATAAGAAAACATTCTTAGAAAATATGTATATAAAAGTAAAAGTCTTGCAATTCAGGTGGTGTAGTGATTAAGGCACTAGACTCCCAATGTGGCTGACCGCAGTTCAAGTCTCAGACCCAGAGGCTCTGGGAGTGGAGGGTGTGTGTGCATGTGCATATGTGCCCAAAATCCTGAAAGGAGAATGGAGGAGAAGGGGTTGCGGCATGGCCATACCCTCTAGGGGTGATTTCTCACTTTCTGTTGCTCTGCCTCTCTCTGGTGAGCACATGTCCTACGGGAAAAATCTCTGCCCCCGTCCTTCCACCAAGAAAGTCTGCAGTTCTCGTGGTGTGCACGCTCTTTCTTCCTGGGTCAGAGTGTGTGCTTTTCTTTCAGGATTATTTTGATATGTGATCCCAGATATGAGATCTGGTGGCAACGTAAGGTGGTTGGATCTTAAGGAAAATAAACATCATCTTTCAAGGCACATCTGCCCCACGGGTTATCACAGAATATTCAAGAAAACTAGCTCCCTCTGTCGCCATTCCCATGATAAAGAAGGCTTGCATTATGTTCAGACAGAGAGAGACAGAGTGACAGAAGGTGAGAAATCATCCTCTGCGAAAGATGGCCACACTGCAATCCCTTCTCCTCCATTCTCCTCTCGGTATTTTGGGCATGTACATACATGTGCTGGCATGCAATTCAGGCCTCCAGGCCCAGGACTCAAACCACAGTAGATGATGTGGGAGTCCAGTGCCTTAACTGCTATACCATCTCCTGGCCCCTGTGGCTCTCAAATATTAACAAGCATCAGAATAACCCAGAGAAGGGCTAACCCCATAGCACAGTGATGAAAACTCCGTACGTTGTGAGCTTGATCCTACATGACTGA